TCTTTTAAAGTCCCTATAGTAAAGAGGAAAAAAAATTGAATAGAGATGAGGTTGACAGGTGGACTGGAAAACCTACAGCTATCAGAAACAATTTCTTCTAACACTGTTTTAGATGTTCTGGTTTGGGATTTTTTTTTGAGGTAGCTAAAAGAAAGTAAAGAATAAACTTCCATGTAACACATTAAACCAAAGCTTGCCAAAGCACAGGGAAAGCTGATGTGAACAGATATCTCCAATATTTCCTAGCGCTGCGTCTCCATTGAAGGCTTTTCTAGTTGGCATGGCCTGAAGAAGTGGGGATCAGCATAAATGCGCCCTGGACTGTCTACTTGAGTCTGCAAAGAGCCTGAAACCACAGCTCCAGACTGTAAATTTGCCTCCTAAGGTAAATGTTGAAACATTCAAGTGGGCATAGCTGCTGGCCACCTCTTCCACTGCACGAAGCACTTGAGAAAAGAGCTGCTCGGGACTTCGGACTGTCGCGGCAGCGGGGTGGTGTGAGGCAAGGTTACGAGAAGGAGAGATGATCGGCTTTCTCAAGCTGGGGAGCGATCGTCTCCGACGACAATGAATTAACTGCAGGACAGCTCCTGTTTGTCCGGAAGCACTTGGCTTTTCCTCTCTTGCTTCAGAACAATGCTCCGGAGAATGGCTCTGCTAAGTGGATGTAACTCCTTGTTATTTTGGGATCTGGAAGGGAGGTTGTATGGAGAAAGCAGGATTGTACGTATTCCTAACATCATCTTGTAACAGCAGTCAGTTACTGATCACTAAAGATATATATATATATATATATATATTTAAAAGTTCCATTGGTTGGAGCCCACATGTCCTCTCTGTAAAACATTTGTCTCAAACACTGTGATCATTACATCATGTAATGAGGAAAAGAAAACAGAAAAAAAAGGAAAAAGATCCGGCAGGCGTTCTCAGCTGAAAAGCAGCTCTCGGTCGTGTAACATCTGCAGATACTTACAGAGATCAAGCATGCAGAGGTGCTGCGTGTTTGACCGCGAAGTGCGTCGTGACTCTGAAGCGGGGCTGTGAGCGCGCCGAGGGCCGGGCTGCGGGGGCGGCGGGGAGCCCAGCCTGCGCTTTCGTCCCCGCACAGTGGCTTTAACGGCCCCAGGGTAGCAGGCAGGAAGTCGTGAACCTTTCAGATGCTTCTTGTTGTTGTTGCTGCTTTGAAAAAGAAAAATCAGGAAAAAAAGCCCCCTTCCAGCTCCTCCCCTGCTGCGCCGCGAGTTGCGAGAGCGCGCGGCGTTCGCCGAGATGTTTGCGTGAACTGTACGTCTGCACTTACGTTAGCCAGAAGTAGCTGTCAGGCGCGTCGCTACGGCGGGCTAACGCGGCCGGGAGGAGCCTGCCTACTGCCCTGTGCCGCTTGCCAACAAAATGCTTCACAAAGTCTTGCATTTCCTGGGAGCGCGTTACTATTTCTCGCGTGCTCGCAGCTTGCACAAGGCCGTTGCTGTCTGCGCTGCCGGGGAAGTCGAGAGGCTGGGGGCGGCCGGGAGTTTCTTGGCCAGGAATCAATTAACCGCTGCTGCTCTTTGCACTGCGCTGTATTTTGGCAAACTGCGAACAGTCGGGGGATTAAGGGCGTCGTGCGAGGGGAGCGCGCGAGGGCGTGCTTGGAAGGGCGCGGGGAGGATGCGATCCAAGACCGCTTTCCCTCCGCCGCCTCCCTCCCTGTGAAGGATCCGGGAGGCGTGAATTGCCATAAACCGCTTGCTGATCGGTCTTAAACGCTCAGATTGATCTCCTCTTGCCTTTAATTAATGCTAGCGTGTAATGTTCTGGGGACATCGGAGGTGCGCGGGAGCGCACGCCGGCCGCCCTGGGGGCTCGGAGCGGGAGGCAGCTCTCAGCTGAGACGCCGGCGCTGCCCAACGTCTAACCCAGCCCTGCAGAGGGGTTGCAGCAGGATCTGGCGCTGCTCTCGCCGCGGGAGCCGGCTGCCGGGCGCGCGGTGGCCGTCCCCTTTCCGTCCCTTTCCTTGCCCTGCTAAAGAAAGGGGGAAACGGCTCAAATCGCTGCAGTTCCTTGCTTTGGCGCACGTGAGTCCGAGCAGCGGGCTGGAAACCAGCTCCGAGCCCGGGGAGCTGCCGTGCTAAGCGTGCTGGAGGCGAGAGGGCAGAAACGCCTCCCCGTGTAATGCATTTCGGGAGCACAAACATCTGATGCTCTCACGATCAAATTGCTGTATGCTGTGGGGTTTTTTTCCCCCCCGTGAAAATGCTGATGTTTCCTTTATGGACACTTTTATTCCGATTTCTCTAAAATAAACAAACACTGCTTGCTTTGAAGACTTTTAAATGCAGCTCCAACACCCCACCTCCCTGTCGAGCCAGAGTGCTCGCAGGTGGGGACGTCTCCAGCGCCTGCAGTGCTCGCCCGCGGGCACGTGGAGCACAGCTCTCCTCCGAACCCGAGCCGGGCCTCCGGGGCAGAGGGAAGATGTCGGCGATCCTGCGTGACTCGCGCTTCGACACGCCGGCGTTTTTTTGTGTAAGGCATACTACGAACCGCAGCAGCACGTACGCTAACTTGAGAGGGGCTTCTTGAAATTTAAATTTGAAGTTGCGACCCGCCTGGGTTTATTTGTGTAGTTCCCCCAAGGACGTGCTCGGTTTGAGAGAGAGGTGGCTGGATTTCCTACAAGGAATCACCTAACGGTGTATCTGGACAAAAACCGTCCTTGCTCTCTTCCTCCCTGACGCTGTCGCTAGCAGCGGCGCACTTCGCTTCGGCGTCGATGTCGAAATCTCTCTAAGCAAGAGGCGGCGTCTGTAGCAAGGACCTGCTCCCTTGCCGTCAACCGACGGATGCACCAAATTTAGCCGTTCACAGCGAGCGTGTGTCCGTGTCCAGGCACAGAGAAAAATGACCTCTTGCAGAGAAAGAATTTGGGTGCTCAAAACACGTGTTACGCGGGACCTTTTGCCTTGTGGGTTGGTGGTACTGGAGGCCCCCTGGGGCTTGTCCTTTGCCCTTCGTTGCGCTGCTCGTTCATCCTTGTCCTTCTTCCCTACCCGACATCCCATGGCTGCAACGTGCAGGAAGGACCTTGTTTGCAACCAGGGCCCTGTTCGCCCCTTCTGGGCTCAGCGGTTCTCTTGCGTATTAAAAGCAGCAGGATCCAGGGACTGGTTTTCTCCCTCGGCGTGGGTGGTGGGTGACGGTTGCCACCGGCTGTGCGTTTTCAGTCCCCTCCGAGGAGGGAGAGGTGTTGGAAGCAAGACGGGTCGGGCGTCTGGCACGAGGCTGGGCCGCCCGGCCGGCCTCGCAACAGCTCCCTTCCCGCAGATCCGGTTTGACACGTGCCAAAGGGCGTGCAGGGAGAAGGGTGGTTGGGTTGGCAAAGACGCCGGCAGCAGAGTTGTCCCGAGACTTAAAAAGAGGGGGGGTTTTTTGCCTCTCCGGCTGGGTCGCACAGGACGTGGAAGTGCACGTCCCTAGGGGCAGGGGCTGCTCTTGTTCGCCTCTTTGGCAAACAGGCGCTAGAGCAAGTTGGGTAAATGGCGTGACTTCATTTCCATGACCGCTTAAACTATATCTGGAAGACTGGCAGGAGGCTGTTTGTTTAAATCTGTTTGGCTACATCTCTGTGCTTAACAGTTCAGGGGAAAAAAAAAATCCTCTTACTTTATTTACATTGCACTCAAGTTTCCGTAGTACAAAAGATTTGCAGGTGCAAATATGTCCTGCCTTCATTAACTTCCCCTCCCTTTTTAATTTATGTGATTTCAATTTTCCTTCCCTGTACTGTTAATTAGGGGACCCTCTAATCAGTACCATTATCACAGTGGTATTCATGTTTAGGAAAGCTGCTAAACAAATGCTTGCAAAATTGCTAAATGGCTAATTAATGTCTGTTAATTAAGAAAATTGCTCATGGTAACAAACCATGCCATTGCTGGCAGCAGCTAGAAGGCGAACACTTGTTGAAATTAGTAACGAGGCAGGTATAGAACATCTGCTCCCGAGCCTTTTCCTGGAGCGTGCCGTCGCTTCGCCTAACGTACTTACAAAGCTTATTTGCTTTCTGTACCAATTACACGTTCTTTGACTCAGAAATACTTTTTTTTTCCCCTTATGTTAACATGCACCAGTATATTCTTGCACCAAGCTCACAGTTTGTCCAAGCAAACTTTCATTTTGTACTTTAAAGGGAAAATAAAATAATTTTTAAAAGTGGACGTTCAACCCCAAGATGTCAGAAACTACTGCATTGCAGTGTTCAAAACCTACATGAACTAATCTTTCTTTTTTTCCCCCGGACATCTTTAGTATCACTTTACTCAAAAGATGTTTTACTTGCCTCATTAGGTAATTCATCTTGAGGAAGGCTATTGCATCCTTAAAGGGTAACCGTACAGCCCTGCATGTAGAAGTGGTTGCGTTGTGCCGTCCTTTTCTCAGAGCCAACCTAGGCTTCAGGTTCAAAACGCCCGGCACGAACGTGGCACCTACTTCTACTCAAATTTTCAGCCTCTGCACTAGCTTTACGATCTCGAATAAACTGTGGACCCTCAGGTCAAAAAGGAAGTCCAGGAAGGTGTTTCCTACCTTCAGGAAAACGTGAGAGGAGAGAGGGAAAAATGATTTTTGGTTTGGGGGTTTTTCTGTTTTCCCCAACCTCTCTGATCCTCTCCTGCGTATTTTTCTTTCTCGCTGCACGCCCTTGCAAAGTGTATCCCTGTGTGTTCATCGTTGCAGACTTGGTTGAATTACTGAACCGTTTACTGTAATGTGGCTGCTGTACTTTGACAGATGTTCTCTTTTTTTTTTTTTCTTTTTTGCATATATCATTATTCACTGTTTAGCTGCAAAATGAACAGAAACGCAACGAAAAGGGAGAAAAAAAAAAAAAACAAAAGCAAAAACTTGAGAACTGGCTTCCCAACAAAACAGGTCCACCAGCGAATCCTTTTTTTAGCTCTTTCTGCGCTTTCATGTGCTAATCTATAACCTCCTTCTACTGTCTGACCTCACAGGGACCGCCTGGTTCACAGCCCTCGCCACACGCACAGCCTCCACCTCACAATCCTAACAGCATGATGGGACCCCACAGTCAGGTAAAGACACTAGCGATGTGTAGGGCTGTGCACTCGATTTTGCTCTGTAAGCATGTTGGGAGCGGCTCCCCGCGGTGGGAAGGCGCCGGAGCCTTCCCGGGCGGCAGGGGAGCCCTGCCGGGTGCTGGGTCCCGCGCCGCGGCCGGGTACCCCCGTCTCCTCGATTTTTTTTTTTTTTCCTCTCGTTGTCCTCCCCCAGCTCCGATATGAAACGTTGGTTTCTTCCCAGTTTTTGTATGCGCAGTTCACAATGGACTAAGAAGTCAATCGTGGGTATCGGACAATTTAACCTTCCCAAGGTAGCCTGAGAAATTTAACTTGATTTGGGTTTTTTAAACTTTGGTTGGTAGCAGCAAATTGTAAAAAGTAGCTTAAGCGTTTCCTCTTTTTTTTGGTACTTAGCATTGGGGATTTTTTTTGTGTGTGTCTGTACGTGCTTATTTGCCGCTTTTTTTTTATTTGTTTAAACTTGGACAGTATCTAATGTGCAGGGTTTCCCATACGCTAATTTTAACAGCCTTGTGCAGTGTTGTTGAAGTATGTCAGGTGGTCTCTCAAACAGTAATAAATCTACGGAAATCGTTAAGAAACGGACTCCGAACACTTTTTTTTTTTTTTTTAAACTTACTTTTTTAAAAAGGAATTTCTCCAGACAAATGTGTAAAGCCTAACCAGCCTTTGTGTGGAACGTGCTGTCTCCTTGCAGCTTGTTGCTGAACTTAATTTTGTGTAATTGCAGCCTTTCATGTCGCCGCGCTACGCAGGAGGTCCCCGGCCCCCCATCAGAATGGGAAACCAGGTATTGCACTGCCTTATCCTGTTACCGGCGGTTTGCCGCGGGGGCGTGTTTGGATTTTTCTTCTATTTGGAGGGGGAAAGCGGGGAGAGAACTAGACAGCCTAGTAAGTGCTGAAAACGCTTCCTGCATTTGACGGAGAGGTGCCACTCACCTCCCTCCGACGCCATCCTTCTTGGCGGTGGTGGAGCGTTAAGTGTCAACTAGCCGGTTTTTGAGATTCAACCCCGTACGGGGAGTAAACGTCAATCTAGCGTGTGCCACGTTTTCTTTTTGCTGTCAGCAGCTTCTCGCGTGTTGAGCTTCTAGCTTAAGCGGTGTAGAGCTGCCTTTGCCTTGTAGCCTCCCGCAGCGTTGCGTTGCGCTCCTTAGGGTTTGTCCCACCAGCCTCCCACGACGGCAGCTGATGGAAAGCGCGCTGCGCTGCCCCGGGCTGGGACTACAGGATCGCTCACCGTATACAGTTTCCCTGGGATCGTAGGAAATGAAAGTGCTGGAGATAATCCTGCTGCTGGGTTCGCGGAGCGCTTAAGATCAGCTGCGGGGTCAAGTGGGGCAGGTCACTTCTGAAATTTTTGGGTTGGGTTTATCCTCTTATCCCAGCTTTAACAATAACGGTTTGTTGGTGCCGCTGTGAACCCAGAGCTCCAGCCCGTACACTAAGACTGGGGCGTTGAGTTCAGTCATTTATCAGCTTTAAAACCGTGCTGTGCAGATCTGTATGGTAATAAGCTAATCAAAGGTTTCGTCTAATTTCTTGTTAAGAAAAAAGTAATATGTAGTTCATTTTAGAAACAAAGTACCTTGGAAAGATTACCTTGGGAGCTGGTTTCTGCTAATACTTCTTACAAGTAAAGCTATTATTTTTATATAACTCTTATTACTAGAAACAGCACGGAGAAGGCAGCAAAATAGTCAGCGGATGTGAAATAGCAGCTTTCTCAGTGTTATTATTTGCTGGGTTGGAGACGTAAGTCACTGGAGCTTGCAAATTGTCCATCTGGGGGTGACATTTAGACAGCGGAGGTTTACCTGTCTCGCTAAGGAAGACTCGGGGAAATCTCTTGTACATCGGAGAAGTCCTTCCCAGTCCGTCGGGGGGGAAAGCGTCCTGCTCGGAGCGGGGGGTCAGTAAAAACACTGGCTCCGCTAGCGCGTGACAGGGGTGGCGGTGGGGCCCTCGAGGCGGTCCCGTGCGGGTCTCCGGCTCGGCAGAGCTTTGCCGGAGGTG